GACAGTTTCCCCGGAATTTCTTTTTTAACATAACTTTAATGAACTATAAATAGGTAGATACTTAATGAAGTATATACTTATTTATACTTTATATAGGTATTTTATAAATTTTTTGCTGTTGAAATAAAAAACGGGGACATCGAGTACATAATGACTACTTTATTTTTCATCCTAACTATTACTTTTAATAATTACAAACATTTAATAATTGATAATTAAATACATCATAGAAATTAATTTTAACCTTCGACTTAAATATGAATTTAAAACTTAATAATTTAAGTAAGGAAACTTGTAGGAATTTGTTAAATAAGTTCAATCTGTTTAAAGGCCAATATGTTTATGAGGCTACTCTTTCTTTCATTTCATCTGTCCCTGAAAAATAATAAACTTATTATCATTTTAGATGCATGAATTTAAAACCAAACTGATATTGCACAGACTAGCCAAATAGGCAGGAGATATTTAAGTGTACCGGGTGTCTGAGGATACAGATGCACTATCTATTCTCTCAATCTCGGTATGTTGAGAAAACGGTCACCCATCCATGGTCAGCTGTGCAAGTGCAGCTTAATCTCGCAGATCTATTGATCCACGCAACTGTTAATTAACCACGAGTTTCTCTTCTGTACGACTAAAGCTGTAGGCGATGGACTACGCTATCAAGCCTTCGGCACACAGTGGTCGGGCATCAAGCATAAATCATATGGGTTCACAATTTCTTAAATAGGATAATATCAACATGTTTTTTATTTTTAATACACTACAATGTATAGTTAAATTTTTGAAGTCTTACTCTAACAATATAATACTTGGTAGTACAAATAATGTAGGAATGGCCCCTTTTAATGAAATTGTTGTTATTCTGCTTTTTTTTTATATTTCTCAAGTAAACGTTTGCTGCAAATTGTTCTTCTTCTTCTAGTTCTTCTTTGGATTCCAACTAACCCGCCCAATTTTCTTACTCTATCCATCTGTTTGACAAATGGATAGCATTTATTTTCATTCCTTTTCTTGTTGTGTTGGCAAGTCTAGCGATTCATTATAAACATTCAAGATAAATATCCACATTAATTTTGATATAGTTGAATCAATCCCTAGCGGACATGTAAAATATAACATATAACGTACCTAACATAAAATATAACTTAAATAGGTGACATCTCTATTGGTTACACATTTTCGGGCTGTTAGGTCGTCGATACGCCAGTATTTTCAAGTCTAAGGACAAAACATAATTTCATGATTCGGGTCGAATCTACTAATTAGCCTGTGATTTCATGAATTCAAGTAACCATCCACAGACTGCTAAAGGGATAGTACGTATAATCATTTACATTAGGTCTGTGATTATATTATATTCTTTGATTTCCATTATCACTCACATTTTTAACTGTGTTAATGAATGAACCATAGACACTGACCTCTATATAATATAGACTGACTATACACCGTGACATAATGAGGAGATTTAATTTTCGCCATTTTGGCGCTAACAGCAGAAGTGAACGTCCACGGAACTAATAATAGAGATAAGACAGTGTGAAAAAATATATCAATAAAAATTCTATATCCAGGCCTACCCGTAGCGTCCATTCCATTTATGTATAATCTATACAAATAAATAAAATTGAAGTGTCTGTTTGTAATGTAAATAAATACTAGCTTTTTACTAAATGCATATGAAAGTATGTACGGTACTTATAACAAAAACACAATTTTTTAAATTTTTGTCTGTCTGTCCATCTGTCTGTCCGGCTGTCTGTCTGTTTGTTCCGGCTAATCTCCGAAACGGCTGGACTGACTTCGACGGGACTTTCACTGGCAGATAGCTGAGTAACTTAGGCTAATTATATATTTTAGAAAAAGAATTAGGGTTCTGCGCAACATAATTAAAACCCTAATTCACACGCGGGCGAAGTCGCGGGGAACAGCTAGTATTAATATAATGTCATACAATAAATAAATGTATCAAATAATACTTAGGCCTCAGACGCAAGCTTTATGGATACAATATATTTTGTTCCGGGTTTCAAATGAGAAAATGCCTACGCATACCTACAACACGGGGACAAGAACGGATTATGTCGGACTTGCATCTACTAAAACCCCATGATGTTCCACCTTCACCACACATTGACAGGGCCACGGAAACACTTTCAAGCACATTCGCGGCCCCACCAGCGAGGACCCCTTCTTAGTTGAGGACTTCCTTCCCCGACTTCCCGAGCCCTATATATGGAGGCCATGGAGCCAAGAAAAAAACGAACACTCGGAAGCACAAAGTGGAACAGTCCCGCCAAAGTCGAGGAAGATATTCGAGTGGCGCATTACCATACCAACAACACTCTTCCCTTGCGACTTTATCTCGGCTGCAGCGAAATAAAGAGAGGACTCTCACTAGCCGCAGCTCACTAACACACATCCAAGGTCTCGACAAGCCCACTCAGAGTGACCACCTTGGGCGAGCCCTTCACTTCGGCCAGCCATGTGAGTCGCCCTGCGTTTGCCATGGGTTACCAAGTCACGGCTACTCCCCCCCCCCCTTACCCCGCCACGACAAAACGGGAACCCGTTCAGTGAGGAGTTATTTCTCGCCTAAACTCACGTAGACTCACTAAGGAAATTAATAATTTAGCAGTTCCAATATAAATTTGTTCCCTTGATACAAATAAATTAATCATAATAATTATACAGATTTAACAAATTTACGTTTTGTAAACACATTCATCAATCATCAAACAAGTCATCATCAGGCAACCTTTCTTGGCTATGGTCCTTGAGTCTGGAGGAAAATAAGAAGGGAAGAAATTAAAAAAAATGAAATAATAATCTAATACTTTTACTTACATACTTACTGGTACTGGTACTACCAGAAAATATTGTTGGTATACTGCACTTTTTCAAAATGGTGCGTTACTCATGTCCAATAAAACAGTCGTCTGTGAAGTATTTAGAACAAAGATAATTATTTTGTTTCGGAGGCGAATTCATAATTTATGTGCTTTTAGCTATAATTTTAGTCTAAGTTTAGTTGGAAACATGTTAATTAATTATCTGTCATCGGCGACTTTGGTTGTGAACAGATATGGGATATTCTATTGAATTTTATTGCTTATAGAAACTCAGTAACATTACGAAGAATAACATGTTGGTAATTACAATATTAAGTACTTTTATTATCAAATAGTATTAATTTGCTTAATATAAGCTGCAAATGCACTTACTTTTGTAATGTTATCCTACTTTACTTTTGATAACTAGTTTTACATATTACGCACACTCTCATTATTACTGTTGTAAAAACTGCTGAGTGAATTACCAAAATCGACACTTTAATTACAGAGCCCTAATTACAACTTAAACTACACTAATAATAAAACACAATTGTACTACTGATCACTTTAGTTCGCAGTTGTATAGCTTTGAAGTATTCGCTTATATCGCCAATTCAATACTGTCTCGGTCGCGGTCTATACCAGCCTTATAAAGGGCCTCAGGTAGTTTCCAGAACCTTCTACTATAGAAATATCTAGAATGTTCCAGTACATATCGGTCACGATATTTGTAGAAGGATCTTGACTCTCGTAGTCCTGCTACTCGATACTAGAGGGCGCTAGTGGTAACTAGTTTTGCCATGTACAAGACGTTAGTTGTGGCGCGCAACATTCCTAAAAATAATTCTTATTATGTAATTAAAATCAAATATAATCAAACCCCATAAAATACTTTAATTTTTTAGTTTAATTATTCAAAATATAAATAATAATACGACAGACTTTGGTATATTATGTCATCTTTAGTATCCGGTACGGCATAATAATATATATAAGCATTTTGTATGGCATAGCCAGTCCAGCGTACTTGTAGGTATATATAGAGGTCAGTGCTCATAGACTTATAGACTTAGAATATATACGTCAGTATGTAGTAGTATGTAGTATAAGCACAAACTATTCTAAGTCTACAGAATGACTAAAATAAAGGACGGGTTTAGTGATTATATTCTCTTTGGACGGGTTTGTTATTCCTGTATAGGACAGCTACCATACTCTTTGGTTTATTAGTGTTCTGTTCTGTGTCTGTGTTCTGTGCTGCGGTTCACAAATTATAAAGTTGTATGTACAAGACTGCGGTTCTGTCATTGGTGGTCTACTCTGTGCCTGTGATTAATTATTTTCAGAATTATTTTTGTTTACCATTTGCAGTTTTATATAAAATGTACAAAAGTGAAAACATTTAAAAAAGAATCTTCGTGTTATCGCTGGGCTAATATCGTCTATTAAATTGTTTTAGTAATCAGTTGTGATGATTGTATCTTGTTCATTTCATTTCTGAATTCAGTGAGATAAGAAGCAAGATAATGACCTACCTAATCGTAAGAATTACATTTTTTATGGATAAGTGGTAAATTTTCACTTTCTCTCCAAACATTTCGATCTTGTTAAGAGTTTACAACAACGTTACAAAACAGGAAAGTTGTCATAAAATTTCAAAGTCTATATTTTATTAAAGAAAGTTAATAATTAGAACAATAAAATTTAGTTATTCTATAACTATTACATACGATTCACATTTTTCCTATTTCATATATTAAAGAGGTGTTTTAATTGGTTTCGTTAAATTGTTTTGAATTGATACTTATACACATCTCTTTTAGTAGAGCAAATGGTTAAATTTATAATTTAATAAATTTTAAATTGTCAATACTAACAACAGATGATATACCTACTTAGCAACCTTGATGTTTTGTGAGTCTATCACCTTCTTACGATATATGATGAATTCTTTAATGAACATATCATAAAGCATATTATAATAGTGGTAACATTATTTGTACAGGATTTATACATATTTCATCAGTTGTTATATGTTGTCTAAAATTTTTGCAAACATTTCAGTTACTTATTAAAATTATGGTTTTCTAGATGCTCAACTTAATGCAAAAACTATGTGGTGAATCAATTATATATGTATAATTATGCTTTGAATATATCAAGATGTCAGACACTACACCATCCTTAACTGCACCCATTTCACTTTCTACATATCACCAACTTAGCTTAACTGGTAAGAAATTATATTTATATTATATTTGTTAAGCTTTTAAATATTTTCAAGTAAATACCTTAGATAAACCATGCTATGGTTATAACTGGTTAAAGTGGCAATGGTCTTGCCATATAGCTTATATGCTTATATAAGAAGGGACTTAGGTAATATAGCTCAAAGAATAATAGAAGATAGGGAAGAAAGGTTTTCAAATGGTGGCCTTATACTGTTAAGTGAAGTGCAGGGTGCCCCCCCCTTAGATGTAATGGCAACTTGGTAAAAATTGTAGGAAGTTGATGATTATCTCAGGACCATGTTTTGTGCCATTCATTGGAGGTGGTCTATGTTCAGCAGAGGATTTGTGAAGGGCTGTAATAATTATGATGACTTTAGATAAATGTCTAGATATACCAGCTTTTAAATATTCCCAGAATGACTGAAAGTTTTTGAACTGAATTAACTAACAATGCTAATGAAAATGGCCTGGTAGTATAGAACTCTTTGGTAACCTTACATGGTATTAGGTAGGTTTTAAAGATGGTAAAGTTACACTGCAGCTATATTAAGTCAGGGTAAATCACCAGAGATAATTTTTACTAGTAACAATGTATTCTATCTTCCTCAAGGGGTGATAATGCATTTTTATTTTGAGGTTCATTGTGAGAGTCCTACAGACGTCTCTGTAGGACTTAGGATCCACTTACCATCAGCTGCAAGGTTTATATGCTATAGAAAATTATTGCAATTAATGAAATTAATACTAAGTCATATGACTTACAGCTTACAGTTTGGATATGTATCATTCCCATTCTTATAGTTTTCTATAGTATTAACAATCACAAAAGTCATCTTGGCTAATCCCACAGGACTATATTATGCTTGGTGGCTACATACTTTTATTTATATAGAATTTAATGTGAGATTTTTTTTTAATCCATAGTCATTGTTGTAAAGTTATGCTGCTGTGTTAATATTAGCCCACAATAAAATTGATAAAAATGTTAATTAGAATTTTGTTGTATCATCTCATGCCACTAATCTAACAAAGTAATTGTAGTTTCTTACTGATTGATATCTATGGCTGACTCCTTCAACTGCAACAAGAAAAGATAATGCCTGGCTGTTTATGGCATGATTTAAGGTGATAAAAGAGCTGGCTGACCAGGACTAGTTCTTAGTTTCCACTATGAAGTTCTCCCTTTTGAGAGGAATTTAGTTTTCAAAGGGGAAGAGAAAGGGGACAAGCTAGAGAAGGGAAATCATCAGTAAATTTTAATATGAATGGTGGACTTTATATTATAATTTATTCTTCACTTTTAAAATATTATTATTAATCACATGTTTTTGCAAGTTAAGCACTTGACGTGACAAGTGTCCATAGCTAGTTTTTCTACTGCACTTCCACCAGAGACAATAACTTATAGTTCAATTGTAGCCAGCTAAAAAGTGTTACCATAAAGATAAAAATCTACATGAATAATACATAAAAATTGTGTATTCCAAAAGTATTAGCAGACTAAATCTAAAAACGAGTTTCTGACCTTTAAAAAAAGAGATCAGAAAATTTGCTGGTTTTTTCACTAAGAAAATGTGCAAGGGAAAAATCTTCTGGTTAATCACAGTGGTGGACCATCAATCATTCAGATTCAGACACTACACCAGAAGGGGTCGTGATGGCAAAATCTTACATTTTTTGTCACCTAGCCCCCATCCGCCAAATTCGTACCGTCCGATAAAGAACTTCATTCCAATAATTGCTCAGAGCACTCCCCATGGTAAATGCGATAGAAAATGCGAAGGGATGCCTCTTCGCAACACCAGTGAATAGAGCCGATCAGAAAGAACACTGACGACAATTCGAAACGCTCTTCACTGGATGTGGTCAAGTGGAAAGAGTGTTAGAGTGAGAGAGTTGCAAGCGGTGTGCCAACACAAAATACTGTCCCGCTCTATGGAACACGCCAAGCTTTTTAGAGGCCAATTTAGCCTACTCTTCCAGGTGAACATGGAACTGAACGTCATTCGATGTGTCGACGCCGAAGATTCCTATGCTAACTAAGGTAACAAGAGGAGTGCTCTGAAATTGGAAAGATACGAAGAAGGGGTTTACTCTTTCACGTTCAATGCGCAAACCAGTGTCTTATTTTTATATTATTCTAAGCCAGCATTTAACTACAATCCCACCTGATGGTAAGTGGTGATGTAGCCTAAGATGCTGAAGCGTGCTGACTTAAAAAAAAGCCTATTCACTCTTGCCTTGAAGACACCCACATTATACTCGGATGGAAACACAGATGCTGGCAACTTATTCCACTCCTTTGCTGTATGCGTGATGAACAATATAGCAAACCGTTTGGTTCAAATGCGTGGTAAGTCAACAACGAAGGGGTGGAGACTGGCCAAACGTCTGGTTGTCCGATGGTGGTAGGGAGAGGGAGGAGTTAAATTATGTAATTCCTGCTTACACTCCAAAATGCATCCTGTAGAAAACTGAAAGGCTGGCTACTTTGCGCCTGTAATCGAGACTGGTAAGGTTGGTTTGAACCAAATTCGGGTCACCAATAAGCCTCTTAGCATGTCTTTCCATTGAGACCAAAGCTGCTAGGAGACATTTTGCAGCACCAGCCCATATATGGCAGCAATATTCCATGCATGACCGGACTTGCGCTTTATATAAAGTAAGCTGCTCTCCCGGCGTGAAGTATCGCCGCATCTTTGCAAGAACTCCTAGCTTCCTTGCAGCTGCTTTGGCCTTGGACTCAATGAACCACCCGAAGTTCATATTTGAGGATATCTCAACCCCCAACAACTGAAGGCGGTTGGCGTACTCCAGTGATACATTTCGGAAAGAAGGAGCCAAGGTGAGCAAGAAGGAAGGAGTGACTGGATTTGAGCCCGACTGGTCTTGGTTGGTATCTTTCCACAACTGTACTTTCGTCTGCATACCCATAGATACCGGGGTCTTATGGGGTTAAACTAAGTTAAACTAGAATAGATTTAATTGCCCCCAATCTAAAACTGTTTAGTAAAGACTCCAACTTCAGACACAAGTTTGTTCTGGCACTCGACGATGTGTACACGAGAAAAATTAACACAGCCGGTGTATAAAGCATCGACAGTGCAGTCGTCTGTATAACAATAAATGTTAATAGGCAGGTGATAGCATGCAGCCTTGTGGAACACCAGCATTCTTAGGCTTGGAGTCTGACCGTCGACTGCAACCTTATGCTCCGATCTGTGAGAAAACCCAGTGAGGTGAGGTGACCCAGTTGTATAGTTTCTCAAGAACCCCATAAGAGTTTTTATTGTGTGAAACCTTGTGCCAAACCCGATAGAAGGCTTCCGCTATATCCAAACTAACCATCAAGGCCTTCTGCTTGGGCTCGATTTAGTCCGCCCATCCACGTATTATGTAAACTAGAAGCTCATTAGTTGAGCGACCCTGACGGAAACCGTAGTACTAATCAGCTGGTGCTCCTCAAGGTACCGCATGAGCTGGCAGTTAATAATTGATTCCATTATTTATTAAGGAGGTTATGTTTTTTAGGGATCAGGACCCAAAACTTCAGGACAATACCTGTTGTTAGTCATCAGGTACCGGTACTACATACTGGTGTTCATGTCTTCAGCAAAATTTTGTGCGCAAAGTTGGACTTAGAAGGGAGCTTTCTCCTTAAACAATTCGTATCATTTCTTCAAGACAGCTTCAGAAATATTGATTGAAAAAATAAAGGCCTATGTACCTAACAAATGCTGCACATACTTTAGATTTACTGATGACATAAATGGATACTTTTAGTGTCGACTGTTTTAGGCCTAGAAAGAGTGCTTTAAATACTAGGACTAAAAATAAATGCTAGTAAAACAAAAATAATATCCAGTGATCTTCATAAGTCGGTCAAAATAGAAAAGCTAATAGCAGGTAATACTGTCTATACTTATTTTAATAAACTAGAGTTTTTCAATGCAAACGTTACTAAAAAAAATCAATACAAGGGAAAAAGTACTGGGCACAAAAAGAAATCTTGAAAGGAAATTAAAGTCCGAAATAAAAGAAGTTAATAATGGATTCTTGTATCATGCCCTGCTTTACATAATATGGAAGCCAAATATGGGTTTTTGAAAATTGGTATAAAAAAACCAAAATACTGCCAACATGAAATGGAGAGAACCACATCCTGAGGTAGAGAAGAATAAAAAAAAAGAAATTATGATACATGCTCTAAAACTTAAATACAAATGTACAGACTTAATATTGTCTATTAATAACAAAATGACCAAGTACCACTAGAAGAATGTAAGCATTCTGCGAGAGCGCCATGAAACAGAAGCGAGCAGTAAGGCTCAGAGCCATGCCAAACACTGTAGCGCAGAGAGTAACCTTGAAGGAACAAAAAGCGTTATTCCAATGCTGCTATTAACCTTGTAATACTAGGTGTATTGTAGGATCTGAAGACTGCAGACGTGTTTTCTCGCGAGCTAATGGTAGGGAAAGGGGTTCTTGAGAAGGATGACGAAAGGTTGACGCTGACCATAGGTTTGTAGGTTGCTTGTTCATATGCCAAGGTGTTTAGCCTGGGGCCAACACTCCTTGTAGTAGTATGGAACTATTCTATATATACCAGAGTAATTTGGAACTTTCATAGCTTGTTTTGGTTTTCGGTTTGTTTCGCTAGTGGCGCTACGATAGCGCTGCCACAGAAGCATAAGGCACCAAAAAAAAAAAGATCAGCTGACGTTCGATATAATAAAAATGACAGGAAAAAAAACTAGATTAATTGTCGCTCATTACGAAAAATATGTAAAGAAATGGGGGTTTTACCCAAATGGAGACATATATATAAGCTCTGTTATATAGCTAATAATAAGCTCTGTATTTGATCAGCGGTTCTCAACTCGAAGATTTTTTTATAAAACTGAAGGGGAACGAATTTACAGTCGACTTGATGGTAAATGGCTACTGTAATCCATGGTTACCTGTAGCCAATATCAAACAAAGATGGCTATAGATTGGTTCAGAAGACTAACATGGAATGCCTCACAGACTGTAAATATACTAGCTCTATATCCTTCGGACCGGAACACGGCCTATTTGGCGGTACAAATAAGTAAGAGGATGGTACCTACCAGTACCTATCTACCAGACGGACTCTTAGGCAGAAAAAAGGTAACAACTAGTAGATAACCAAAGGTCTAGTAATAGTGGACAGATATTCATAGGGTGAGAGAGTCCACAATTAAAAGAACTACTTACACATTACCTGTTTCCATTGACACTTGACAGTAGTATTTGTAGGTATAGGATCGCGTGATTTAAACAGTATTTAGTAAATAATTAACCTTATGCAAAACAACCTCATCAAAAAGGTTAATTAATAAACTACTGTATTAGATGATTAGACTTTTATGATTTTACCAAAGATCAAAAATTAGTGAAATGTTAAAAAAGTATTGATGCGCGCCATCATTAATGACTGGTACATGGCGACACTAGTTACCATTAGCGCCTTCTAGTATCGAGTAGCAGAACTAGGAGAGTCAAGATCCTTCTAGAAATTTGCATGGAAAAATGTTTGCATGGTTTTGTTATTAATGTGGTTTTAAGTTGTATTTAGTATTCTGTAATTAAAGTGTTAATTTTGGTAATTCACTTTGCAGTTTTTAATTGTCTCGAACCCCAAGCTCGTAACAGTATGATTCAGGTGACTTGAATACTGTATTTTATATCCTCACAAGTAATGTGAGTTTCCCTTTGGTTTTATAGAATGTGGCAATGCATAAACAGAAGCAGACTTCTTTGTAAAACAATATAGATGTTATAAATTTGTCGCTTTGGTTCATTTTTAATTTATAAATACTGTCAGTGCCACTTACATACTGCACAGGCCTCCTCTTAATTCCGCTTAAGTTAATACTCGGTAATAATAGTTATGTATGTTATTGTAAGATATTTTCAGTTGATTTACAGTTCATGAAATGATAAAAAAAGATAAGATTATGTGTATTTGCATATTAAGTAGTGATTCTATAAATAAATCAGTCCAGAGTGATAAAACTTTCTTACAATACAATACAGTAATACAATAACTTTATTTCCGGCATCAAGGACTTAAGAATTAAGAACATTGGCCTCTAGCAATATATACCTTAACCTAAAAATGTATATAAAATATAAACTTAACACTATTTAGGGAACTTCCTTCTTTGGCGCGTTCCTGTATCGACGAAACACTACCTTTATGTTTTGCCAGGAACCTGGAGTACGTAGGATTTGAAGTTCGTTGACCTATTGGACTCCAGACTCTGGAAATGTAAAGAGATCGGATCCTCTATGCGACATCTACTTCGTTCTTCCATGTCTTCTCCCGACGTACTTTTGTCCAAACGGGAGATGTAAATCTGTATAGTGTGCTCCACAACACGCAGAGTTGTACTTGCGTTTATTTTGGCGGTCACACACTCACGGGTCTCGACCCGTCTGTAACCGTCGTCTCTTCTCAACAAGAGTAAACCCGTCATTATCAATCTTGTTTCGGGACACCACTGGAACTGATTTTATATCCACATTCTTTCGTTTTCGACCACAAGAGGGTGCCGGTTGTGAAGATATTCGGGCTACATCCGCAAACGTCTTCCTTTGTTGTGAGGTAGATTTCGGCGGAGGAGTACTCATGGGTTCAATCAAGGGCTGAGGTGGTGATGCAATGACCACCGATGTCGCCCTATTTTTACAGTCATCAACCCGCTGACAGACGGTATCGCGAGACGGAGTCACAATCATCGGTGAAATATTACTACTATTAGGGTTATCGCGTGTCGTATTTACATTCTGCGACGGCGCTGAATTCGCAGATATTGCAATTATGTTGCGCAACATAGGACTTCGTTTCTCAGCTTTGTTGCGGCTCGTTCCGATTCTTCAAATTTGAAACGGATGTCGGTGACTTCGGCTTTCAATGTGGTGAAGTCTTTCAACAATCTGTTCACGTCTACGGGATTAAACGTCACGGGAGGCAGCTTGTTCAGATCACGTGCCACGAAAGTTGGGATGTATGAAGATGTCTTGCAGGTCTTTCTTACCGTGTCCATCCCTGTGACGTGCGATAAGATTGATCTGGATCTCGGCTGAATCTGCTAACACCTTCTTCGCTTGGATGATCTTGTCCTCGGTGAAGCTATCCTATATGAAGCGATCAGTATCTGCTCCAGAGACACCTGGTCCATGACGTCTAATTTTTGTTAAACAAAGGCCAGAACTCATGGACTACGACGGTATCGGAGCGTTTAGGTTGACACGCCATTTCGAATTACTTTCGCGCAGTAGGTAATTTTACGCTACCAAAATATGGTAGGTTCGGCATTAGAGCCGCCACATCATTGTGAAGCGACTGCACTGACCGGTAGTAGAATCGCGACTGATTCGTTATTGGTTGCTTCAAGCTTGTCATTTTAATAATTTAAAATTAAACATTTTGTACAGCTGACTTCAATATAAGTTATTAAGAATAACTCAAAAACTATTGGTCTGACCTTGATCAAATTCATATGGGACCACATGAGAAGTACCAGCTTTCAAATAAAAAAGAATTATCGAAATCGGTTCACCCAGTAAAAAGTTATGCGGTAACACACATAAAAAAACATACAGTCGAATTGAGTATTGTCTCCTTTTTGGAAGTCGGCAGAAAACTACAACTAACACTGGCAACAAACTATTTAGAATCTTACGAAACACGAAAATCTAATCTAAGCTTTTCCTACATGTTTATAATCCTTCAGGTGTAATGCATGCAAATTTAATACAAAGTTTATTTTTCAATATTTTTTTGTTGTAATAATTGGAGCTAAAAAAAAAAACTATTTCTTTTCAGTTGATTCAGCAACTATTAGAAACTCTGGCCTGTTTAAGCCAAATCCATACTTACAAGTTGTAATAGATGGTAAAATTCTAAGAAAAACAGAGGTAATAAAAAACACATTACATCCAAAATGGAGGGAAGAATTCACAGTGCTTGTAACACCATTGTCACAACTGCTATTCCGACTGGTAGACCACCATAGCTTCAGGAAGGATCATGTTATTGGACAAAAAAAAGTGAATCTTTTAAAGGTTCTATACTATTTTAATGGCAAATGTGAAAATGTGGAACTGTGTATAGGTAATTGTTATAGTTTAATGTTGTATGGGGATGTTCATTAATTATCTGTGTTGTCATATTTAATTTGAACCCCCTTTATGATATTTGGTAAGATGTGATGGGATCCTCTGAAGTAAGATTTAAGATATAATTTTTAAATGATTAACACACACTTAAAAATAAAAAGCTAAATTAATTAATGAACAACCCCTATACAGGGTTATTTTGCAATAACCGGCCAAATTTGCAGAGAAGTTCAGAATAAGTAGGTGTAGACAAATAGTAATAATGGTAAAATTCTGTCCTTTTTATCTTTTAAATTCAAAATGCGTCGTAATGCATTATTTTAACTGATTTTACTGCGCACGCACACATTCGTAAGGGTCGATCGGTAGGCAAAAACGTTGTTGCCCATAAATTGCATTCAATTGGGGATAATTTCAAATAAAAGTAGAAGCCTTATTTACTCGTATTTTCAAAAACTGCAATAACGGTATATCATTATTAATATATGTGTACTTAAGGTTAAAATTTGGCTACTCTTTGAAAAATAACCCTGTATGTAAAGTTGGTTATCTAAAGGAAAAATAGAAATTAACATTCTGTTGTTCCAGTATTCTTAACAACTTTTAGAGATTTTTTTAATCACTTTGTTTTTCAGATTTGATGAAGACTGTTTCTCAAGATAGTAGTTCAGGAAATTTGACAACGGAAGTAAAAACTGCCGACCTAATTTTGTTTCTAGATGGCTTAAGAATTGATCCAGCTATTTTAAGTCAATCACACGACGTGCTTGGTGAGGCTAGTAATGCACGCAGTCCTTTAAATGATGGAGTCCGTGCTAGGATACGTTCCAGGAACAATTTAGAGACTATCAGATCTATGTTAAGATCACAAAATCTTCGAGTGAGTAAAAACTAAATAAATGTAGTTATTTCTTTTATTAGGGGGTTGTTATCCCAACAGCATGATCTACTGTATATAATCAATTGATCAAGCTTTAAATTTTATAGAAACAACCTGACTGATATCCAATACCAGTAGAATCTCTACGTTCTAATTCCCACCGAGCATGTCAGTCTGTTGGGAAACCTACATGTTTAAGAGATAAATAAGAAAAAAGATGTAATTGTAAAACATTTGAAATGTCATGATCTTATAACACTGTGCTAAAATTTTTGTCTGTTCCAATTCAATTTGAGGGAAACATGCGAACAAAAGCTAACTCGCACCAGTCTGTATATACAAACAATTTTTTAAGAAGTAGCAGTTCTTCATAATTGTTTGTCACTAGGAATGCGCAGATATAATATTCTAAAAATCTTTATTCGAGGTTATAGCAAATAAGGGAGAGTATTTTTTATGACAAAATAGCCAATAAATTATGAACTATGACCACTTTCTATTAAAATTAAAATATATTTTATGCCCAGACTTAGGATGTGCAAACAGTATATGAAAAGTTATCCATTATTTACTGCATGCCTGTAGAAGTTATAAACATATAAACTCTTCCACTGAATGGTGTATTTAATATGTAGGTTTATTTAAGAATAGTTTTGCTGTGTATACATATTGAGTAGGTATTATTTTTCACATCTACCTGAAAAAGTTTACTGCTAGACAATACACACAGGCCTCTCCCGTTGTATGGGACATTTGTCTCAATCGGCACGCTTGTCAGGCAGATAAACGACCGCAGCGTCAGACGTCTTGCACCACAGAGCACGGATTAGCTACAATGCCGCGCCAGGATGCACCTTTGTATGTGGTAGAGCCACGCTGCAGTAGTGCAGTGCACGCTGTTGTAGCACGAATGGGTCGGCTCGAACGGGGTAGGACCACGCTCTCACAGAATACCAGCGTAAGATGTCAGCTTAATGCTGCTGTGTTTCTTATGGTGAGTGTAGAGAACCGGGGACCCTTTTTGCTGGAAACGAGACATTCCATGTTAGTCATCAGGGGTGACAATGCATCTCCATTTTGATTCTTAATCGAGGAGAAATGTTTGTCTACGGGCCGCAGCTTCCTTTACCACCAGGTGAACTGTGTGCTCGTTTTTCACCCTTATTGTATAAAAAAATGCAGCAAAGGTGACGTTCTATTATACAAAGAGATATGGTTCATGAAATGATTTTGGAAGGAGCAAGTTGGAAAGAGGTAGGACGGCGAGTCAAATCAATTCTACTCATTCTCGCCTGTTCCACGTCGGAGAACTTCTTTTATCGGTGTATTCTCAAAGAAGGCAGAAATCGAATTAACCTGTCCCATACAAATCGAATCAACATTTATTCTATTTTGTCGTCAATCGAAAATGTAGTGCGTCCCATTGGCTGGTCAATGGCAGAAAAATTGTTATGGCTAATAAAACACATGTGTGGAATGAGTTAACTGTGTGAACGAGACGGAATGGTGCGCCAAAGGGGCAGAGATTCGTTGAACTGCCAAATTGAACTGAACTCAAAAGCCCTCAGATTTTATATTCCTGCAAAATACAAACTTTCGATCAATAAGAGGCTGTATTATTTCTTAACGAATTTCTTATGCTAATCTTATTTCTGTTACGCGGTATGTTTATTTATTTAATATTTCTAAACTATGCGGAATTCCAATAATACCTAAGACTACGTGTAAATAATTTTATTTATTTAAACAGTTAAACTATATAACTTGTTATGTTGATGCGAACAGATCCATTTTGAATCGAATTTGTGTAAATATACTCACAGAAACAGCTTGGATATGTATATATTATTAAAAAACATATTTATTTATTTAACAATTTATGTACACACAAACAACGGAGAGGACACATCATGATGAAGATTTTATACAGGGGCGCTACTTATCTTTTAATAAAAAAATTATTGTAGGCCAGTTACAAAGATATATGATAAAAATAAGATTATATGTTTAGGATATCTGCATATATACTTATATAATATATTCATACAAATACACACATAAATATATTGTGTTGCTATTTATTTAATCCTTATCATGTACAACTCCTGTTCTTAAATTTTATGGACTAATGTTTAATGACATAGAGCAATGGTTGAAATCTTATATAATGTGAAACTTTCCAGCCACCACCTGGCCCACCTCCACTCAGTAACGGTGCTGCGAGTGGAGCTACGCAAGTTGAGGGTGCAGCGGGTCCGTCGAATGCGGAGCACAACTCTGCAGAAAGCACAGCACAGAACTTTCTGGCAGCTCACGAGAATCTCGCCGCACCACCAAGTACCGCTACCACACCTGCCACACCTGCCCCTGCAGCTGAAGAACCACTTCCTGCCGGCTGGGAAATGCGATATGATGTTTATGGTCGAAGGTAAATTGGACACTTTCTAGATTCTATTGTACATATTTTTTTTATTAGTAGCCAGCAGTCTCTTTAGTAGTAGTTTCAAGCAGTTCGCAAGAAAAAGTAAACAAATATCAGCACAGATACTGCCGCACGCCTAGTGTGAGACATCTTTGAATTTATAGAAAGTTATTTGTACTAATCAGCCCATAAAGAGCCGACAGATCCCATAGTACATAGAGGGATACCGTACCATACATGGTTTGGATATTTGGTATAAATACTAGGTCTTAATATCTTCGTTAATGCAGTAATATTCGTAATATTTGATATTAAACGAAACATATCTAAACATTTTAGTACAATGTTATACCCTTTTTGTTTAACTGTCCTTACCTAATAAATGCCAATCTAATATAAATGGCAGCTTGTAGAAAGTAGCAATGAGTAAGTATTTAATGCTGCATTTCGAAGGAAATTTTACATTTACCACAGTGTTTCTTTGGAATAGAATATAATAATTTTTTATTCAATATAGATCACATGTGTAATTCTTATTGAAAGTAATTTTTTACTTTACCACTGGTTCGAAAAAATACCTCTGTCCTGGGAAGAACCAGCAAGAAACCCAGTGGGACTTTTTTTTTAAAGCAAATTTTACAATAATGGTTGTACAAACTATATAAGTACAAAATTTATTTTAGAAACAGCTTGGAAGCGATCACCTCATTCCCAGGGGTTATTATCAACCATGTATTCATTTATACTATAATAAGCCTTTTATACAGTTTCAACTTAACAAAACATTTAAACTTGCTAATAGAGAGGGCCTGTACACTTTACGGGATCTTGTTGTAATAGCGTATACATTGCCCCAAGAATGAATTACTCGTCGTAGTCTTTAAAATATTTAAAAGATTCAAGCGCAAAATGTACAGTTAAATACAAATCCCAAGGTTGGAACGCTTAACTGATGGCGAAAACAAGTTGCAGTCATGCAAAATTTGCTATTAAAAAAAATTAAACACTGAAAAATTTAATATTTCTTTAACTCATCTCAGAAAAAATTGTTTTCTAGTTCATTCATAGCTTTCTTTTTAAAAAACGTTACCCCCACACTAGTATTTTCTCCTGTATCGTGGAGGCAATTCACAAACACAAATTGCACAAGGACAAAAATCCAGACTCGGAACAATTATTTGTAGGCCATACAAACACTTGTTCCGTGCGGTATTCGAACCCGCGCCCCCCAGCGCAGCAACCCATTGTTAAGCCACTGCGCCACGGAGCCGTCGCTTAGAACCAAAGACTGACTGCTGAAAGATTTCTTAATATTATTAGTCTGGAATTATTTATTTGGCACAAATTTGCGTAGTGAAGACGGACGTAAGATCCTGGAACGGGTATGTTTCGAGCGATTGGCGCTTGCTCGAATGACAATTGTCGGTTTTTGACGAACGCAAAAGAACCTGAGTCGTAGATGTGTTTAGTATCAAAAGTGTGTCCATCGCTCAATCAATGTGGAGAACCTCCAGAATATAATTCTTAAACGCTCCTCTCTTTGATGTTATTCCATGCCCGTTGTGAGTTGTACTGAGGAAATGCAAATGAAAACATATAATCGTTGGGGCGTCTATTATCGATTGTTAACGTCTGAACGAGTTGACTAGTGGACGTCTTTTCCACAAAAAAGAAAACTTGTTTAGTTATGCTACCATCTGATATTTGGCGTTTATGCACTAAAATAAATCAAACCATCACAATATAATTATGATGGTTTAGTGATAAAAAAGAAAATATGGACTAAATAAGGTGGCGTTGTGGTCGAGTTACGTAAAAAGTTGTCACCTTCCGGAACAGCCAGAACAAGGTCTGTGTATTTCAATGCTATAGTTTATACATACTGATGTGTTAGTTTAAATAGGGTAATGAAGATTTTAAGATTATGCATGGGCCAGTTGGAATGTCTAAAAGATTCCAGCATGAAACCGGGCTACTGCGACAATTGGCATTAAGGGTGGCAAACTAGCACACAGTTCACCTCATGGTCAGTGGTTGCTATGGCCCATAGACATCAACATCTATCTATCGATTGCGAATCAAAATGCGGCTACGTTGTCGTCACCCATGAGTATTAAGATGGAATGCCTCACTTCTAGTAAAAAAGGTTTCCGGTACACTCACCATACGAAACACAGTAGCGTTACGCTGCTATTTTACGCTGGTATTCTGTGAGGCTGTGGTCCTTTCCCGGTCGAGCCGAGCTATTCGTGTTACCACGTAGGTTTGTGTAATAAAGCGATTGTACGGTAGATATTACGTGGACCACAACTCGCGGTCGACGTCGTGGGAGCGGCCGATGCCGCTGCCGGCGGGCTGGGAGGTGCGGCGCGACGCGCGCGGGCGCGTGTACTACGTGGACCACAACACGCGCACCACCACCTGGCAGCGCCCCGACACCGAGCGCCTGGCGCGCTTCCAGCACTGGCGCGGCGAGCGCCGCCACGTGGTCGCGCAGGGCAACCAGCGCTTCCTGTACCCGGCCACGCACCCGCCGCACCCGCACCCACCCGGCCCACCCGGCCCCGACGACGCGCCCGCAGGTATGTTCCGCTCACCGCTACTAAATCTACTTCCTCAAGCGTCTCCCATACAGAAGCGGCTTGCGGTGGCGGCCGCGGTGACTGCCAGTTGTATTCGCTTGCAGTGTAAGTGAGTCTGCAAACTAGTGCGGCCATGGCGCGGCCTGCCTGCAGCTGTTCGCGGACGCATGCTCCGCCCCATCTGCCAACGCGTGTGTGTTAGCGAGTACGCGGTCAGTCGGTGGCCGCAGCGCGTTCAGTTGCAAATTTTTACAACATGCCGCGTATGCCGAGCGAAAAATGGTGCTAAATTCAGAGATTTTAATAGAAACAATGCAAAATAACTTTATGATAATTCGCATCGTGATCACAAAAGCATTAGGATTAAAAACAAAATATATGATAATATTGCTGAATGTAATAAGATTTCGTCACGGCTTATCATGTTTACTGACGACCGATCGTAGCACAAACACCACAGCGAATGGCACTTCAGGCCGCCACTGCGGCCGCGGTAGTGTGTTGTTGCAGCGGTTGGCGCTGCACTTTTAGCACACACTTTAAGCGTCCCCCATACACAAGCGGCTTGCGGTGGCGGCTAACGCGAGCCGCAGCTCGGACGTCAGTCAACATGACTAACTGTGAAAAAGTGTTTTTAATACAGTTGCTCAAAAAGTGGCGTATTGCAGGGACGTATAGCGTTCGGGATGTGGGCTATTACATACTCGTGCTTTTTCTTTACCTTTTCCGAACTCGTGCATTCTCTTTCCCAACTGTCAAATTAATGTCTATTAAAAAGAAAAAAGAAACCACGAAGTTTTTACTAAAAAAATTCATAGAAGTTTTTATGATTCATGCAAATATTTCTAAAAAGAAGCTACTAATTTGTTTCAATATCAGATTTAATGATTTGAATCAATGAGTTAGGTTAGGTTTCATTTCATTTCATCTCATTAAATTTAATTTTCATTTCATATCAATAAAAAAAATTCCCTATAGCTTGCCCAGAATGGGTGAAGAAAACAAAAAAAAAATCTCTGCTTATATTCTTTTACGGTTGGCGCCATTTTCCAAAAATGTTCTTTATTAAATTGCTTCATTTTTTCGCAACTGTATTAAATAGTTGTTCAGTACACGTGCGGAACCGTCATTGCAACTTGTTCCGACTGTCAACCCTCATCTTCTCGGGTAGACATTTGTCGGAACTCTTTGCAATCACAGGCTTTCCGCACTTGTAATGAAATATACTATATTATTTTTATTATATTCAGCTATATTATCCCATATTTTGTTTTTAATCTCCTAATGATTTTGCAAGAGTAAAGTATCCTAAAGTACTGGATAATTTTGCACTGTTTCTATTAAAATGTCTCTATTTAGCGTTATTTTTCACGCGTTACACGCGGCCTGTTGTAAAAATATGCAAGTGACCGCGCTGCGGCCACCGACAGGCCGCACGGTCGCTCACACAACGCGGTGGCGGAGAGCGCGGGGCGTGTGGCCGCGGCCAGCCGCTCGCAGGCCGCCACGTGACCGCACGTGTTTGCAGACTCACAGTGCAAGCGGATAGAGCTGGCCGCCACCGCAAGCCGCTTGTGTGTGGGAGACGCTTTAAATGTGTTCTAAAATTACCGTGAGCTTGATATAAGATGTAGCAAGAAACTTATCTAGTCACTTACACATATACTTTTCTATATGCAACACCTGAGTTTGTGCGAACATTGCATAGACTTAAGAACACATCACAGTAAGTGGCACTTACCTTGGGTTCGCCTTGTTCTAGTTGTAAACACGACCACAAACACGTAGTACCACAACGGGTTGGTCCTCATTTCTCATTTAATATAAATGTTTTAATAATGGCTAAATTAACACGAGCGGCAGCGCCAGCTCTTTTCAGCTGCATCAGGCGCAATCTTATTTAACCGTTGTCATGAAAGTTTTTATTGGCTAAATATTATAATTATCGATTTTTTGTCTGAATTGGGAAACAGGTGAGATACAGAATAAATTTAATGTTGGTAACTGGAGTGCTTTGGTTTCCAACACTGAGGGATAAATAAAATGTAACACAACTCTAGCAGTGTGCTGAAGGGCGGTTAGTTCTGTAGATAAAATGAAAATGTTCGTTGTCGGTCTGCGTGTGTCTGCATAATATTTACCTCCGAAGATTTATCATCGTTTTAGATAAACGTAACTCCCAAGACTTAAAAACCACATTAGTTTAATTATTTAAGAATTTGTCAAAATCATATAATTGAAATGTTGCGGGTTGGCGAACATACGTTGCCAAAAATACAAAATAATAGTAATTATTATTCTAATTGGTTCTCATACGCCTATTAATATTTTTTTCATGTTATTGTTGTAGCCGGCAGTAGTACAACCAGCGCTCCCAGTATCACGGCGCCGACGTCATCGGCGAACAGTGTGGCTGGTGCGGCGAATGCGAGTGCGAGTGCAAGCGCGAGTGCGAGTGCCAGTGGTGGAGCGAGTGCGAGTGCGGAGGAGGGTCTGGGCGCGCTGCCGGCGGGCTGGGAGCGGCGCGTGCAGCCCGACGGCCGCGTCTACTACGTAAACCACAAGAACCGCACCACGCAGTGGGAGGACCCAAGGACACAGGTTATTTCTTTTATTACCAAGTTTTTATTAATTCACTTTTTGTCTGTCTGTCTGTTGTTCTGGGTGTAATCTTGCAACACAAATTTCGAGTACTTCCTGATGAACTAGAGATTTGAAATTTTGAACATAGCTTAGAATCAGATGACAACGTAAGAGTATGAAAATAAACGTAGTATATTAAATTATTTTAGTACAAAATTTAAAAAAAAATCGCTTGTTCAACAATAAATATCCAAAGTATCTGCCTACCCCACACATCGATTATTATAGGAAATACTTTAATTAAGAGGTTTTAGTGCTTGTTAATTTTATATACTTTGAAGAAACTATATTTGAGATATTTTATTTTTATGATTTGTTATATTTACGCGATCACTACACATTGAATAAAACTACTTTTTATGGATTTTATCGCGTTTAATTTACTTATTTTATATTCCCGACGTTTCGGTTGCTTTCCAGCAACCATAGTCACGGGGGACTGAGGTGATTCAAGTCCTGATGTCAGAGTTAACCTGGAATACCTTCAGCTTTTTTAATTATTAATTTTGGACCGATCTACGCAGAATGAACTTACTGTGTCTTGAAGTCTTGCAGTGGTATGCTTGGGTTTAGTTTTAATTTTATAAATTACAGAATCCCAAGCAGGTAGTACCCAGTCTCCCTCTCTATTGAAATTAGGATGTTTTTTTTAAATTTCAATAGCCTCACGTATCATCCTTGGTAGGAATGTTCTTTCGCGAGAATTTTTGGTTTATCAAATCTAATGCAATGACGGGGGCCGTCTAGGATATGATCACAAACTGCAGACTTCCCGGAAAGTTGGTGCTTCACGTCAGCTATGTGTTATATAAGTTTATTTTATTTATAACTTCTAATAAGCATTTATAAGATTTGTTCATGAATAATACTATGTTTTTTACATTTTATTTTATACTATCATTACAAAATTAATTACTCATTTGTTAATATCAGTTGGTCAGACATTATTTTATCAATGTTTATTTAAAAAACAATACAACAAACACATTCAATGGTGTTGTTAACACATAATTGTTAACAAATAATTTTATGAATAGAACACTGAGAGTGTAGTTTAGGGGGGAAGTTGACAATATAATTAAAACTGTTTGTTCATTTACAAGTTATCCCAGTTCAGAATAACGAATTAGAATTAATTTGTAAGAACAAATTATTCCCCTTCCATATCCTAAAAGCCTAACAATGTTTCCTTGATAGGGTCAAGAAGTGTCTGCGCTAGAAGAGGCTCTACCACCAGGCTGGGAGATAAGGTTTACAGAAGAGGGAACACGATATTTCGTGGACCACAACACACGTACGACTACATTCCAGGACCCGAGGCCAGGAGCGCCCAAGGGTCCGCAGGGTGCTTATGGAGTTCCAAGAGCTTATGAACGTTCCTTCCGATGGAAACTCAGCCAGTTCAGATATCTGTGTCAAAGCAATGCCCTGCCCAGTCACATAAAAATAACGCTCTCCAGACAGACACTCTTTGAAGATTCTTATCACCAGGTGAGATAACAAATTTTATTGTTACAACAATTGCAATGAAACTGCATAGTAAGCTTTCAGTAATATCTGACATGCAAAATGCCATTTTATAAACCGAGATCTATTTCACTACTAAAGAGGAAATTTTCATACATCAAATCTGTTTCTACCTTTTAAACTTAATATAATATAATAATAATATATATTGGGTAATAAGTATTGTAAATTGATACAGTGTTATAGTTGAGACCTCCTTTTAAGTATTTAAAATACTTGTGCCAGAAGGCCACACGGTACCATAGCCTTATATTATAAGCTTATTACCAATAATTTATTTCTTCTTAAATAATGAAAAAAGTAATAAAGTAAGTAAAAAAGTAAAAGTGTGTGTGTATGTGTGTGTTTGTGTGTGTGTGTGTGTGTGTGTGTGTGTGTGTGTGTGTGTGTGTGTGTGTGTGTGTGTGTGCGCGTGTTTGTTTGTTTGTGTGTGTTTTTGTGTGTATGTGTGTGTGTGTGTGTTTGGGTGTGTGTGCTATATATATATATATATATAATCAAAATTCAGTTTTTCCATTTGTTAGCGCAGCTATAAAACAAACTTCGGAAAAATAAATTAACAACTGATATTCAAAAAGCTTTAAACTAGACAATATTAAAAAATTCAAATTTCTTATAGTACGATCTTCATTTGTAATGATTATAGAGCATATGTAGTAGATTGTAATAGAAAGTTATAATATGGTGTATGGGCTGTAACTTAGCATTTTTACTTTTACATGTCTATTTTCACATGTTCTCTTAATGTTAATATTTGTCATGTTTAATAATAGTTATTAATAAATAGTCAGTTCACAAAAGCGATCATCTATCAACGATTAGAAATACTGTAAAAATATGGATTGGCATTTTGATACATACATTGTTGAGACACTTTTTGTACAGTCTTATGTTTTGAAATTTATTATTTTTTCTTGATTCTATGATCATATTACTTTTAAGCACTGTCGGTCTTCATGTATTATCAAATTGTTTATTCAGTGAGATTTTTAAACCTAAATTACTTTTCTGAATCAATGAGTTTTTTTTATAGGATAAGGGTGACAAACGAGCACACAGTCCACAGTTGCTGTGGCCCATAGACATCTGCGTCTATCCTCAATTACGAATCAAAATGCAGATGCGTTGTCACCCGTGAGGACTAAGATGGAATGCCTCTCTTCCAGTAAAAAGGGTCTCCGGTTCTCTACACTCACCATACGAAACACAGCAGCAATAAACTGCTATTTTACGCTGGTATTCTGTGAGAGCGTGGTCCTTCCCCGGTCGAACCGACCCATTCGTGCTACAACTATACCAGTAATATAGCTGCAACATGCCTCTACCACGTAAAAATTTTTCTATTATAATTTATAATTTACTGAAAATATGGTGGTAATATTACAGGTCACATTATTTGAATAAAATGAATGTTAAACCGACCATACTGCATGACTAATTGCATAAAATACCCAACAGATAATGATCAAACCGTTGTTCAAGACATTCAAGTAGTGTGATTTTTTATCCAATATGACAATAATAAAAAAATGGGAATAGCAATAATGTGTTTCTAACATTATAATTTTTACAGATAATGAGACTGCCTGCATATGAACTGCGAAGGAGACTGTATATTATATTCCGTGGAGAAGAAGGATTGGATTACGGCGGTGTCAGTCGGGAGTGGTTTTTTTTGCTGTCGCACGAAGTGCTCAACCCAATGTACTGTCTCTTTGAATATGCTAATAAAAACAACTACAGTCTTCAAATAAATCCGGCCAGTTATGTCAATCCAGACCATTTGCTGTATTTTAAATTCATTGGAAGATTCATTGCGATGGCTTTATACCATGGACGATTCATATATTCTGGTTTCACTATGCCTTTTTACAAACGGATGCTAAACAAGAAACTCACCATGAAAGATATTGAATCTATAGATCCAGAGTTCTACAATTCTTTGGTGTGGATCAAAGACAATGATATAGATGAATGCGGTCTAGAGATGTGGTTCAGTGTCGACTTCGAAGTACTGGGTCAAGTTATACATCATGAATTGAAGCCTGGAGGGGATAAGGAGCGAGTGACGGAAGTAAATACTTAGACTATATATTTTAATCTATATTAATGTATGTGTAAAAGAATGTGAAGATATTTCGATATTTTTAACTTAATGTAGTAAGTAAGTAGTAATCCATTCAGATTTGGTTGTAATCTGCTAAGAGACAGTGGAATGACTGCTGAATTTCTAACATTGGTAGATGGTGATTGATTTCTGGAAGGAAGAAGCTCTAGAAAACCAGCGCTACATGGGTGAAATCCTGTGTCAGCAAAAACTGAGACACTTCCTATTGCTTATATTTGCTTATATTTAAATTTATTTTTGAATGCAGCAAAAAGTAAATAATTATTTTTTTTTCACGGGAAAATAAAAGTTGTTGTTTGCAGTGGCTAGTACTTGTGTGAAAGTCGGTTCTGCATCTGAGATCATGGCATTAGGGAATCTATCATCGATGGTCTAGAAATTTTCCTTCCTAATGTTAACCTAATGATTGTCTTGTAGTTCCCAACAGATAGTGATGCACTCTTCTAAATACCGAATCTAATTGCCCCCGACAATTCTGCGAACCCACTGCGAAATCCAGTTGTAAAAATGGCGGTGGCGATAAACCATTTCAACCTAGGAGGGTAAACTAGTACTGCTCTGAGTTGACAGTGATAATGATAATAATGATGATTATTTTGCTTTTTTCGTCAGCCTGTAGAATCCACTGCCGAATGTAAGGCGAAAGCTACAAATAACTATTTCTATATAATTTATTATTATAAGTATTTCTTTAAAGATGTTTCCATACTCATCTCACTCGGCGAGCACTTGTAATAATGTTACTTCTCATCAGTGTTGCGTGTGATATCGTATCGGCATCTTTACACTCAATTTTCCGCTATCAGCCGGGGGGCCAAAGCGTCGTTCCTCAGACCGCCTGTATTCTGCAGGCGAGGTGCTCACAGAAAATGATTGAATATTATTATGCACCATTTGTTTCTTTTTTATCGGCCCATGTAAGTCCACTGCTGAACATGGGTCTCTCCCGTTGTATCCTCCCGTTTGGCAGGCGGATTGTTGTCGCAATACGTGACGTCTCGCATGCTTCATATTGCTTCTAGTATGATGTAATACCTCTACATCAGAAAACTGTCACTTCATGTCAGTGAGATTACTACTTGGATATGAATGTTCCTGTGGCCTTGCGTGGAATGTTATTAAGTTATTGATACTCTCATTTTCAGTAACTTCTTTGACTTTCATTGTGCGAATTATTAATTTATACTTGTTGGATATGATAATATAATAATAATGCACATTAATAAAATACTTTTCATACCTGTTCGTAATTAATTTTATTTAAAAATTATCAATATGAATATTTGTAAGATTTTTTTTATAAATGTTAAAAAAAATATCTTAAAAATAAATGGGACTTTTACAGTACTTTGTTTACCTATAAGTATGCAAGGCTTATATTTACAGCACATTTCATAGCTACAGGTAGTAACCGAACGTAATAATAATATAAATAGACAATAATATTATTTTAAAATCAGCTAAACAATTTTCTTTATTTCCTTTACCGCATAGACGAACAAAGAACAATATCTTCAGCTTGTTACACAATGGCGGATGACTCGAGGAATAGAAGAACAAACTTCCGCATTTTTAGATGGATTTAATGAGGTATATTATTATCTATATTATAATCCTTTATTTGTGTTTCAAAATGGAGAAAGTTAATTAAGTTAAACATTTTACAAACAAATTATATTACTTTGAAAAAATAAGTTTACAAATTACAATAATACTAGTTGGCTGGTGACTTCTAAAACGAAAATAATCAGTTAATTGCCACTTTAGTTTCTTATGTGTTTTATTTTATAACAACAATAATTCGTAATATACACAATTCATAAGTACAGTGCAACATAAGCCTATTTAAGATATAGACCTATTTATAAAAGACATATTAATAGAGTAACGGGTTTACATTCAGGTGGACTTTTCACTTGAAGGTAAATAAGGTAATGGTAGCTTTGGCGGTGTACACCAGTAAACTTGCAAAAGAAATAAAATCTACAAAATATGTAGTATAATTGTATTGCATTATCATCCCAGAGAACTAAACGAAACACTATATAATAAGCTTATAATATTTTGTTGCGTACACATTTAACAACCATTAAGCTACATTTTGCTTTCAAAAGAATCATAGAAGTTCGTATCAACATCATGGAAATGTATTATTAGGACCTCTTGAGTGTTCTCAGTGAGCCCATGGTGAGCTTTTAAGTTTGGACATAGCGAAGGCCTTCGATCGGGTCTGGCACAAAGCTTTTCTTTCGAAGCTTCCTTCTTATGGACTTCCCGAAAAATTGTGCAATTGGATAACCAGTTTTCTAGCTGATCAAAGCATCAAGGTCGTAGTAGACGATGCATGCTCTGATTACAAGCATATTAACGCTGGTGTTCCACAAGGCTGCGTGCTATCACCAACGCTGTTTCTTCTGCATATCAATGATATGTTGCAAACCGGTAGCATTCACTGCTATGCGGTTGACAGCACTGGTGATGCTCTATACATCGGCCGTGCCAATATTTCTCGAGAAACGTCGACGAGTACCGGAACAACCTTGTGTCTGAAGTCGAGTCTTTGCTGAACAAAGTCTCGGATTGAGGGCGACTAAATCTAGTCCAGTTTAATCCGCAGAAGACACAAGTTTGCGCGTTTACCGCTAAAAATAACCCCTTTGTCTTATCTTCTCAGCTTCATGGCACTCCCCTTGTTGCCTCAGCCAGTATCGGAACCCTCGGTGTCAACGTGCAGTTTCGTGGTCACTTGGAAGGAAAGGCCAAATTGGCCCCTAAAAAGCTTGGCGTGCTCAGCAGAGCGGGACAGTATTTCATGCCGGCACACCGCCTGCAACTTTATGGCGCAGATTCGGCCTCACATGGAATACTGTTCCCATCTCTGGGCTAGGGCTCCCCAGTGCCAGCTCCTTTCACTTGACCGCATCCAGCGGAGAGCGGCTCGAATCGTCAACGACCGAGTCCTTTCCGATCGGCTCGGCTGATGATGTTGTGTCTCTTTGCGTATTTTATCGCATCTATCACGGGGAGTGCTCTGAGGAATTTTTCGGACTAATTCCAGCCGCCCAATTTCACCATTGCACATCGCGACAAAACACGCGATAGCATCCATACCATCTGGATGATTGGCGGTCCACCACTGTGCGGTTTACAAGTTTTCTTCCTCGCACAACTTCTTTGTGGAATCGATTACCACCAGCGATTTTCCGGACCGATACGACTTAGGGAAAAGAAAACTTAGACTCAAGAAAAGAGTCTATTCCTTTTTAAAAGGCCGGCAACGCATCTGCTATTCCCTTGGTGTTGCAGTTGTTATTGGGCGACGATAGTCACTTACCATCAGGTGAGCCGCATGCTCGTTTGCCCCCTCCTATAAAAAAAAATGGCGTCGCGTAAGAAACTCTTCTTAATTCAGCAGTCTTAATTTTGTTATTTCTTTGAGCTTTGAGTACATAGCTTTAAGTTATCTTGCGGGCATCGGCTTTGAAGTTTTATACGGCCATATTGTACATATAAGTATGTTTAACGTAATATTAAATGTTAACACAAAATACAAGGGAATTTGGTATCGGTACAATGAACAATATTAAGTCATAATTACTAAAAGTGACTGCAAATTATTTCTAAGTTGTTTCTAAACTTTTTAAGATGGGTCAGCAACATTCCTACGTTGTTTCCAAATTTTAGGTTGTTTATTCGAAACATTTTACGTATATGTTCCGTAAAATGTTTCGAATGACGAAAATATTGTGTAGATTACGTTTTTAAAATGTCTTGTCGCAAATAATAGTAGATTTATAATTTTTTGCTCATCTTCAGGTGGTGCCGCTGGAGTGGCTCAAGTACTTTGATGAGAGGGAACTGGAGTTGATGCTTTGCGGCATGCAGGAGATCGATGTGGACGACTGGCAGCGCAACGCTATATATCGCCACTACACGCGCACCAGCAAACAGGTCGCCTGGTTCTGGCAGGTATATAAACTATATTAAATTATTAAATTGTCTTAAGTTTAGACAATTTACAATGTTATTAATTGATGGGTAATTTTGCACCTGATTTAGCATTATATTTATTGCGTTATGTTACTACTAGCGAGTAAACTCCTCTTTTACCACACCATCATAACTGTTGCTTTACTTAAGGCAACATAGTACGAAGAGCTAAAGCTGTTGTAGCGAGTGTACCCAACCAATTGATATAAAATTTATTTTTCCACGCATTAGAACCAAACGGCTTGATTCGTCTTTTGTAATTTGTACAGCAAAGGAGTGGAAAAGTTTGCCGGCGTCTGTCTATCTTTCCGTCCGAATACAATCTGGGGGTCTTCAAGGCAAGAGTGAATAGGCTTTTGTTACGCTAAGACAGTGCAACTTAGCATCTAAGGCTGCATCACCATTTACCACCAATGGCTTATAAAAAGTGAAAAAAAAAAATTGCCTATGTTGAAGATTTCATTGAAATCGGACCTACCAACTTCAAACAACAAGTTTACCGTTCCAAACACAAAAATTCATACTGCGTTACTACGAGAGGCGGCTGATTACTCTGCGGCCTAAGCCATTAAATGAAAGATAGTAAGAGTGCTTTATTTTTATTATTCAATATAATATCCCTCAAGCTAAATACAATTTTCACATCTGGCGGATAACGCTTCCCTACCGACAAAAAATAATCCTTTTCTTTGCCCTCAAAATAGCTTCCAACAGCCACCTTCATTTCATTGTCATCGACAAATCTACGACCTTTTAACTCCTTTTTCCAATTGGAGTAAAGGAAATAGTCGCCGGGAGCCAGGTCTGGACTGTAGGGTGGGTGGTCATTTTCCGAGAAGCCCGTGTTCTTCAGGGCCTGCCTCGATACCCTCGCCGTGTGGACAGCCGCATTGTCTTGCAAAAACACCACTCCGTGCAGTAGAGCCATGCTGCAGCTATATTAACAGTATAGTTAGCACGAATGGGTCGGCTCGACCAGGGAAGGACCACACTTTCACAGAATACCAGCGTAAAATAGCAGCTTAATGCTGGTTTAACGTTCGGTGTGTGTAGTGAACCGGGAGACCCTTTTTACTGGAAAAGAGGCATTGCATCTTAGTCCACACGACTGACAACGCATCTGCATTTTGTTTGCAAACGTGGATAGATGTAGATGTTCTATGGGCCACAGTAACCACTTACCATCAGGTGAACTGTGTGCTCTCTTGTCACACTTAACCTATAAAAAGAGAATAATGCTGCCTTCAATAAACATTGTTTTAATAATATTTTTATGTACTTTATATATAATATTCTCGTGTCTCACCTTCAATTATAATATACCAGGTGTTGCTAACAGCTTTAGCAGTGTCAAAGAAATCATCAGAGGTTATTATGAATTTAAGTAAATTCAAAGTCTTAGGCAATCTAGAGTGAGCTACCAACCATAAAAGCTATGAATGTAAAACTTGATTTATATGATTAAGTATATGAATGTGACATATTTATGTGTACTTATATGTTTGTAATATAATATCAACTTTACACACGTTTTATATCACAACTAATGGAGTAATTTCACGACGGGGGTAGAAATTTGATGTTTCATACGAGATGCATGTGACCTGACCTGACCTGACTTGACCACCTGACTGGTGATCAGAAATGTACTCAGTTCTGTGTTCCGGTTAAAATAATTAAAAAACAGGTTTAATTGGGTAGTTGAAACTCCCATTAATAATAACTATATCATATAATTTGATTTTGGAACTTTTAGTAGTTTTTAAAAGTTTAATTATCTATTTTAAGTAAGATTTTTAGTAGTTATAAATATACAAATGAGATTAGACTGAAAACTATGACGTCATTACAATATATTCTCATACAATTTCAATTAGCTAGTTTAGTTTTATTTCAACTAGCTAGTGTCAAATACCTAAATAAAGGCAATGAGGCATTATACCTTAGTCTTCAGGGTCGACGGCTTCTTCAATTTTTTTTATAACGCTTCACCAGCACCACAGATTATTAAGGGAGACAATTTATATTGATTGCTTGCGAGTAAAACCCATTTATAATTATTTGGATTCAGTGTCACATTACACATATGTAAAACTTACCACCAGTATAGGATGGCTCCGTGGCGTGGATGGCCTACAAATAATTGTTTCTGGTCTGAATGTTTGTCCTTTTGCTATTCATGTTTGTAAACTGCCCCCACGATACCGGAAAAATCCTAGTGTTTAAAAAAAAGGAAAAGGAAAGTAAAAGTACATGTAATACACAAATTAACTTAGGTGTAAGAAGGAGTGGGCTACATATTTTGTACTCTATTGTAATCTGTATTACAGTTTGTACGACAAATGGACAACGAAAAACGGGCAAGATTGCTTCAGTTCGTCACAGGCACATGCAGAGTTCCTGTTGGAGGATTCGCCGAGCTTATGGGTTCGAATGGACCGCAACGGTTTTGTATAGAGAAGGTGAGGCTTATTTACTATTTGGTAGAGATCACGTAGGTACATATGTTAAGGTGAACAACATTGAAATGTCTTCCCATTCGTTCACATAGTTTTATAATAGTAAGCCAAGCTTTCTGCTAAGATAAATACGGGTGTATTTTTGGGCTGCGTTTATGATGTAAATGTATAAAAAGCAATCTCCAGTACAAATTTAGAAAATTAATTAAATAGAACACGTAATAAACATTAAATTGCTTTATCATAATTTACACAATTTATTTGTTATCATTGTGATAACATTGATCTAATGATATAATTATTTTATTATAGATTGAGATAATTACTGATAACATTCCATTTTTTAAAAGATACAGAAACAAATGCAATATCGAAGAAAGCAATCTTTTTTGATGACAAATAAAAGCGATTGAGAATGTTAAATTATATATTTTTTTCGTTCTTTGAAATCTGCTTTTACTTTTTTATTAAATGTTATTTTTATACCCTTTTAAGTGTACTAAGCAATAATCTCAAACCTACTACTTACCTTTTATAACTTAACAGGAAATAATTTGATGCAGTGTAATCATATATTTTTAATATGATTCGCAGGTTGGAAAAGATACGTGGTTGCCTCGATCGCACACTTGTTTCAACAGACTCGACCTTCCGCCCTACAAAAGTTATGAACAGTTGTGTGAAAAGTTAAATTATGCTATAGAAGAAACTGAAGGGTTCGGGCAGGAATAAATAACTTTTATTAAATGTAGTTATGTAAATGTAAATTATTATCACCTTAATTTAATATGCACCAAGCACCAGTCCTCAGAAATGGCATTATTTACTTTTGAGACCGGTGCCGCGAAAAAAGACCAACCAAATACTTGTATGAATATTTGTTTAAACAATAAATATTATTATGTAGATAAAATTAGTGTAATATGTCAGTTATATAAGATATATTTTGTTTGAACTATATTTAAAATGTTCGTTTATAAAGTTCAATAAAAACTTAAAAATACAAAGTTATTAATTATTAATTAAAACAACCCTAAATTGCTAGTGTGGGTGTCGGAAGAGACTACTTATGGGAATAACAAAAAACCTTATAGGTTGTTTGCGAGCGGCGACTGGCAGCAGTCTAGGTGTGAGACGTCTGCTACTGCGACTCATCGTGCTGCTAAACGTGACGATTAAGGCAAATATTCCCAACAGAGGATGTGCCCCATTTCCAGATTTTAAGGGCTGATTATCAGAAGAACTACTTATGCTACCTACTTACAGGGTTGTATTGGTGATTTTAATGATAATAATTCTATAAACACATAATCGCTACGGTCGCCAATCATATTTTGTTAAATATACAACCTGACCCTGACCTGCAAATTCCAAAAAAACGCAAGAAAATTTGAATTTCGCGGGCCACCCTGGAGTTTCCACCTTAAGCGAAATATAACAGTATTTTTTTCGCTTGTACCACCAACCTCATCTGCACATGGTCACCATGTTGGTGGACGAGACCTGTCACAACCTTTCACAAGTTCACTGCTGTATATAGGCCTCCCCCAAAGAATGCGACGAAGCACGGTTCTGAACCACCTGCAATCATCGACTTCCTGCATATCTTACCAGGTCGTCATTCAATCTGGGGGAGGGGGTCTACACTTCGTTTACTGATACGAGGTTGCCACTCGAGAACCTTTCTTCCCCATTAGTTGTCGGTCCTTCGAGCAATATGACTGGCCCATTGTCACTTCAGCTTTCGAGCATAGTCCTCTCCATAGTTCGCAGAGCGACCTTGAGCTTCATCATACGTTTGTATGAAGCGGTGAAGAACCACGTCTCAGATCCATGTCATCCTAGGCAATACGCACTGATTTTATATTCTTGTTTTCTAGTTTTGAGGTATACCTGACGAGATGTGTCGTAATCTCCCAAACGCTGCCCAGCCGAGTTGAATCCGTCATTGACCCCTCGTTGGAAAGTTGGATTAACTAGCGATGGTAGAAATTCTTACAATGACGCAGGACCTAAATGATATATGCCAGAGTGTCGACGCTACGCTCACATTTACTACTTAGACAGCGTAGCGAGTATTTATCTACCACTGAACTTTGCTGGACTGGAAAAAGGCTAGCGAAGAAGAAAAATACGAGAGGAGAAATATAAGGCCTTGATCGCCTGCAAGTAAAACAACTATACCGAGTCTTCTTTACCTCCTCTCATCAAAATGTTTTTCTATAGTAAATTAATTTGAAGGAAATGAAAAATGCATGCTTTCGTATGCATAAATGCTTACCTATATCCGCCTTGCCATGAGGCTAATAAAAACGAAAACTTGATAGCACCAGTCTTACTGGGTCTAGTGGTGTGTTTGTTTATTATATTTGAAGGACGCTGCATCGTAACCAAAAGAAGTGGTAAAATGAAAAATTTTGTACAACCGACTTAAATATAAATTATTAAGGATAACTCAGGAACTACTGGTCAGACCTTGATCAAATTTATATGGGACCACATGAGAAGCACTAGCTTTCAAATAAAAAAAAATCATCGAAATCGGTTCATCTTTGTTATATTTTATATGTGGTAGAGCCATGCTGCAGCTATATTAATAGTACAGTTGTAGCACGAATGGGTCGGCTCGACCGGGGAAGGACCACGCTCTCACAGAATACCAGCGTAAAATAGCAGCTTAATGCTGCTGTGTTTCGTATGATGAGTGTAGAGAACCGGAGGTCCTTTTTACTGGAAAAGAGGCATTCTATCTTAGTCCTTACGGCTGTGCACTGTGTGCTCGTTTGTCACTCTTATTCTATAAAAAAAATCTAGAAAAAAGTTATGAGGAAACAAAAAACATACAGTCGAATTGAGTATCTCCTCCTTTTTGAAGTCGGTTAAAAAAAGTTCATTTTCACACGGAATTTACGCTGGTATAATTTTTACCGACTTCAATAAAGGAGATGGTTCTCAATTCGACTGATTTTTTTTATGTGTGTTACATATATAAAATACATAAACACTCTCGCCTGTTATCCAGAGGGGTAGGCAGAGCTATGGACTTCCATTTGGCACGATCCTGACACACCTCTCGCTTCCTACGCATCCATATACCTACGCATGCACGCTCGTCGGTTAAAGGTACTCTTGATTTGTCTAAAAGGTAATCTGACCCATTTTCAATATATCGCAAATTTGGTCGATAAACTTTCGCCTAGGGCGTCCCTTCCCGACTCTGCCGTTCACCTCTACACCATAAATTTGCTTTGTCACTCCTCATTCATTCTTTCTACATGACCAAATTACCGAAGAATTCCTTTCTTAATCCTGGTCACAACATCATCTTGCAAAGCACACTCTTCTCTTATCAAACAATTTCTCACTCTGTCATTCAGATTCATCCCTAACATACTCCTTAATGACCGCATTTCTATAGCGTTTATTCTACTCTCGTGCTTCTTCTGCCACACCCAACTTTCACTACCATACATTAAAGTAGGGACTAACACAGCGTTGTGAATTGCCATACATGCCTTTTTGGACACATTCTGACTTCTTACAATAGGGTCTAGAGCCCCATTCACTCTATTTCCTGCGTTCACACGTCGTTCTTTATCCTTATCATATCTACCATCCCTGCTAAATACACTTTTATGGGTGAACCGATTTTGATGATTCTTTTTGTATTTGAAAGTTAGTGTTGCTCATGTCCAGTAGTTTTTGAGTTATCTTTAATAATGCGTATTTAATTAACGTTTACGGATTTTGTCATTCGGCATGGTGCACTTACACCGTGGGATGGTCGGCGATGTGTTCCTCCCGTTATCGAGAGTCAAGTTGGATGCAAAGAGAGAGCCTTACAGACCGGCTTTCAACTTTGGGGCATGGGCCAGTAAGTCGTGTCCCTGTGCAGAGATGAAAGAAATGGCTGACAGAAGTTCCCTTGAACAGCCTTGGCGAGACCAGAATGCACGGGTTCCCGAAGGAAGGCGATCTAGTTTCTCGTCAATTCTGCTGATGTGCTCTGAGTTTGCAAAAGAATCATTGCCAAGCAATGATTCTTTTGAAGGACCTGGAGGCAGGATTATACTTCTTTTTAAGTGCGCTGATGTTTACATCCCGGGGCGTTGATTTATCAGGCCAGGCCCAGTAGCACTTCTACTTTTAGCGTGATGCTATTTTACTACGACCAAACCATGGTTGGGATCTACTTCCGATGGAAACCACATATGATGGAATAAAAAATTCCTTACCCTGAAGTACCATATCAGCTACAGAATCAGTAACAACGTGGGAATCGTCTGGCGAGAAGCAAAGCTACCCTCAAGGGTAGGATGCAAATTAAAGACCGCATCCTATTCCAATCGGCCAAGCTATAGTGCACAAACACGGCAGCCTGCAGAATGCAACCGTGATGTTAGCGTGAGTGGTACCACACTCCAGACTAGATAATAGTCCGATGAGCCAAGAGGGGTCCGGGTGAGAAATCAGCAGAAAGTCTAACCAGGCTCGGTCCGAAAGGGAAAATCTTCTAAAAATTACTTAATACTTCGTGATAATTATCAAGGAAATGACGCGGAATATTTTCAGAGGACTGTTTATATTCCACTGGTAGACAGCATAATGGCTGACCTACAGGACCGACTTTCTGCGGATACGATGAAACTGTTCGGATTAAGCACTTTTATGCCAAAATCTGAATTTACAGAAAAAGATCTTATTAATGTGAATGTTATTCCCATTTCTTGAGTGTTCCTGCTGCCTTTCTCGTTACAGAGTATCGGCTATGGATTTCAAAGTGGAAACGGGAGCTCAAAGAAAATACTGATAGAAAATTTAAATTTCCTAAGTGTGTGGTTTCTACAATCGAAGTTTGCGACGATGATGTCTACCTAAATATAAAGACTGCTGAAAATTCTGGCAACTCTTCCTATAAGTGGTGCGGCATCAGTGAGATAATTTTCTACGCTAATGCGTGTAAAAACTTGGTTGAGAACAAACATTTTAGAAGAGAGGCTGACAGGTTTAGCTTTTCTAAATATTTATCCAGAGATAGCTCCAGACGTCTCAAATATTATCACCCGATCTGCCAATAAAAATAGAAGACTTCCATTTCTTTTCATCTTCGGACACACGAAACGCAGAAGCTAAGCTTCTACTTCACGCTGGTATTCTGTGAGGTCGTGGTACCTCCCCGGTTCAAGCAGGCCCATCCGTGCAATAGCAAAAGCCGCCGCTTTGCTCTACCATTGTTCTTTGTTCATAAAATAATTCACACTTTTTATTTTTTTACGTTATAGTGGTATTTTGTATGAAAAATAAAATCGCTACAGTCTAATAAAAGTTCAATAGATTGTCTACATTGATGACGTTTTCATTTTATTCAACCGACTTCAAAAAGGAGGTACTTCCGCTCAAGACGAAACCAGCTCGGGGCAAGCGGAGTAAGAAGACAAAGGCAACTCCTGCCACGCTTTCCGTGGATTTCTTCAATATCAGGGGACTTCATTCAAACCTTAACGCCGTCCACTACCATCTGGAGATAGCTAAGCCGGCCTTACTCTTTCTAACCGAGACACAGGTGTACTCTCCGGCTGATACTTCGTATTTCTCCTACCCGGGGTACAAATTAGAACACTCGTTTGTGCCCCGTGCTGGAGTTTGCGTGTACGTCAGAGAGGACATCTGTTTTCGACGCCTCGGCAATCTTGAACCTGTCCATCCTATAGCTACGCGTAGACAGCGACGAC